CAATTTCCCGGTCCTGGCTGGAAACAGTGGACGCTCTTCCAGTCCCAGAACCAGAGGCTCCCGTTGTCGCCTTTTTAAAAAAGAAATCATAAAAACAAAATAATTACATGGTTCATGCAAATAACTCCACAATTTCAGGTTGAATTACTAATTTGTTATGGACCTATTGTACCTGCGGTGGCAAGAATGCCGTCTTCATTTACTGCCACAGCATTTACGATCGACTTTTGCTGTGACCTGATAAGAGATTGAATCGGCTTACAAGAATACGAAAATTTACATACATACAACATAATTCTTGTGTATTTCCATATATAAGGCCTAAAGTTTAAACTTTATGCATGAAAGAGGTGCATTCCACTTTTAAAAGGTTGGTAATAGTGATATTTTTATGTGATGTCAAAGATTTGAGTCACATATATATATGTAAAAATGAATGTTTGTGTTAGATGTTTTTTTTCTTTTTAAACACTTTTTAGTTTAGGTGTCAGATAGGTAAAAACATAAGAATTGTGTGCTATGTAATAAATATTTACAAGATATGCATTCATTGCATGTGAAAACAGATATTATAGACACAATGAGTAATATTGCAAGTATTGGTCATGCAAAGTTGTCGTTTTTCAGTGATAAAAACCATGCTTTGTTCCATGAAATTGAACGGAAATTGCCAAAACTTAAAACCATGCTTCAAACATAAATTCAATAAATGTTTTGTGCCCTTTTTTTCTTTCTGAAGATGCCTGCTTTTGTTAACTTTAAGCAGAAACAATTAAGGATTTACAGACATGCCGGACAACTTTTATGTATTTACATTATTTAATGCCTAAATTTTAATATTTACTTTTAAAATCTTTTATTCTCAATCACATCAGAACACATGCATAAAAATGTGTATTTGGCTTTTAAAAATTTTCATGTGGTTCAAGGATTTGTGTGTTATATAAATAAGCATCAAAGTTAAATTGTTAGATATATAAATACATAAGAATTGTGTGGTTTGTATGCAAATCCCTCAACATTTAAATACCAGTTTAAACATATGAATTTATGCAAAATCTGAAGTTCATCCGCAAACTATATTGTTCCGAACAACAACTTGAAATTTTCCCACAGTTCCTAACAAGATAATCAAAACTAATTTATACCAACAGAAACCTTAATCAAAATGGCCTAAATATAGTTTTAATCCCTCATCTTAAAATGTTCATACAGGTAAACATTTGATTCAATATATGCTTACTAAAGAATATATATACCTGCATTACTCTGATCACCAATACACATTTTTCAGATGTCCACATAATAATTACTGGAAGAACTACATTAGTTGATATGTAGGGGCATTTACATACATACCAAACAATTATTTTGTATTTACATATCTAACAGCCAAACATTAATATTTACATGCAGCACTTAAATCTTTAATACCACACAAAAATACCACCATCACATACTTTTAAAAGGTTAAATACACTGTTTCATGCATAGATTTATCACACTATATTGTTATAAATGTAAATATAAAAGTTTAAGTGTTAGATATGAAAATATAAAAGAATTCTGCGGCATGTATGTCAATTTCTCTAATGTATATGCAATGCTCTGATATATTGCAGGTAAAATCAATCAGACTTCTGGAGCGACAAGTAAATTTTAATAAGGCCGCATCGAGAAAAACTAAGACCAGCTGACATCTTTTGGAAGAGAAGGAATGCAAATACAATTTTCACTTGAGCGGTAAATGTTGAATAAAATAATTGTTAAAACATTAAAAAGGAAGTAAGTTTGTGGCAAAAAACTCACAGCATATTGTGCAAAAATTCACCCTTTGGTAGACTAAACTTCTTAATATTGTCTGCTGATCCTGATACAAAAGTATGCCTGCCATTTATTTCATAATACCGATCGAGTCAAATATATCCATAAAATTTAAACAGAAAGAAAAAACAGTAACTATTTTTTCATTTTTTGCAGAAGAAACCATGTAGATTGGTGTAAATTGAACAAACTTACTCTTTTGGATGCAAGGCTAGCGCGCGAACCGATTTCTTATGGTGAGTTAGTGTCAACATTGTCTTCCCTGTGCAAAGATATTCCAAGTATCAGATATTACAAAGGTTAAGAACAATTATAGCATTTAATACTGAAACTTACCAGCCACAAGATCCCAAAACCTGATAGTTGTGTCATGAGAGCCAGTTACAACTTGTGGATCCTGAAGACACATAAGACAAATGCGATAAATCAAAAAGACGACAACAAGAACAACAATAAGTCTTTATCCCACTAAGTGGGGTCGGCTACATGAATCCTTTTTCTTTGTTGCGTTTAATAAGTATTTATACCGTAGGTCGAGCAAAAACCGAGCAAACAGTGTTATCATGCCCCGATAGAGCACAAACCATTGCCTTCGTACGGATATCCCAAACCTAAAAATGAAGAAGAAATTCCAAGCTCAATATTAAACTAACCATTTCGAAAGATAATTTAACTAAAGAGCAATTTACGATCGATTCGAAACAGAGTAAAATGAATTTCGAAACAAAAATGCATACCCGACAAACGGAATCGCGGCCTCCGGTTAACAATATATCAATTGACGGATGAAGTGCTAAGCAATACACACCACTGAGATGTCCATGGTACGAGCGAATTACCTATGAAGATGATTGTTTAGGATAATAAGCCTTAATAAAAAGGTTAATTTTTGTATTTACATATCTCACACCTAAACTTTTATATTTACACACAACACTCAAATCTTTAATATCACATAAAAAATTGTATTTTTATCACTTTTTCAAAGTCAAATACACATTTTCACGCATAGGTTTAAAGTATCCAAATGCAATGTATGTAAACATAGAAGTTTAGGTGTGAAATAAGTAAATACATAAGAATTGCGTGCTCCGAATGTAAATTTTAAGTTTAAGTAGCCAACCTTGTTCTGTTCAAGGTCCCAACATTTGACTTGTTTGTCATCACCAGCAGAGAACAGATAAGTATGGCGTTGGCTCACGGCAAGTCCTGGAAGCTCAAGGTAAATAAGTAATATTTTTGAGAATTTTTTAATTTCTTAGAAGATTTACATGCATACCACTTAATTCCTATGTATTTACTTATGTCACACCTAAACTTCAATTTTTACATATATGCCACCTTCCCTATGCATGCAAATGTGTATTTCACTTTTAAAAATTTAAAATATGTGATATGAAAGATTTATGTGGTATGAATGTAAAGAGTAAAGTTTGGTTGTTAGATATGTAAATACATAGGAATTAGGTGGTATGTATGTAAATGCCCCAAGATTCTTTAACAGAAGCAACTAACCGCGAATTTGCTCGATATGTCCGGTCAACGTGAGCTTCAGTCTTCCAGTTGCAACATCCCATATCTTTTGAAGAAACAGATGAAACAAAAAATCAAATCAAAATTACAAAGTTTAAAAATTATCAATAATCTATTCAAAAAGTAAAAAGATTTAGAGGCAAAGAATTTCCAATGTTTGATTTTAGAGATTACTCGGACTGGTGTTTCAACTTGCCTTTTAGAGAAAAATTGCAAATATGATCAATATGTTGTGCAATAAAGATTTGTTTCATCTTTTACTGTCCATAGTACTCAATGATAGAAGCAAAAGATGATCGTAGAGTCTCGATTGAAATTTTCGCTTGGAATTTATGAAGAAGCATGTCGAGGTATCTAATTTGGGCGTGTTTATAACACAATGTATAAACATGAAGATTAATCCTCTATCAAAACATAATTGATTATGAATATTTAACTAGTATTTTATCTTTTAAATTTATTTTTCCATTTTGCACCATGGTGCAAATTTCTTATTTATATTGACCAAAAAGAATGACCTCTTTCTCATGTATCTGCATTGCCAAGCCCTCAATGAGAAATACAATTTTTACCATTTCAAAATTTAAGAAACGCAAAAATCTAACGAAAAAATTCGGTCTATGACCTAATTTGGAATTGTGCTTCTCCACACTTGTCAAGCCCTATATGCTAAGAGAGGAGTCCAAAAGGAATGAACCACTTTATGATTCAATATTAGTCAAACTTGAACGACCTATAGTCTACATCGGCATGGATGGTATTAATAGCCAAGTACAAAAGATCAAAAACACAAAAAACAAGAAAAAATTTGTTATAATTTTAGTTAGCCCTACATTTAGGGTATGTTTGGGGTGGCAGTGCGACACCACGCCACATTTTTGTCTGTTTGGGTAAACTACGTTTTGGTAGCTTTTTCCGTCGAAATTTGTGTTTTTTCGCCGGTCCTAGCTAGGTGTGATGACAGTTTTCTAACTGCGGTATCACTTTTTCAAAAAAAATATATATATGTAATATCCACCGCAGTTTTTTGAACATCAGATTTTTCAGCAGCTTCACAACTGCTTTTTAATAAGTTGTAGCTGCACCAAACAGACCCTTAAATTTCTTGGGCTACATAAGCATATAATGTAATTGCTTATGGGTTAGAACTACCACAATACAAGTGATCATATAAACCCTAAAAACTAGGCTTTAAAAAAAAAAAAACATTAGTAACATCATTAATTATATTGATGCTCCTACATTATAATTACAAGAACATCAATATGGGAAGGAAACTTCCTAAATCCATGCAAAAACAAGACAATCATATTTTAACAACATAGAACATCAAAAATAAAAGTACACTAAGCACAGTTTTCAACAAAGACCAACCTTTATCGTCCGATCTGCGGAACCGGTACAAAACCATAAATTGCTTGGATCGAAGGCGATGGATCTCACCCATCCCAAGTGACCACTGATGACCTGCATGAGTAAAACAAATAAAGAAACATTCAATAAAATACAAATATTAGGAAGGTTTACATACATACCATTCAATTTCTACACATTTACATATCTGCCACCTAAACTTCAATTTTTACGTATATGTCACCTTTCCTATGCATGAAAAGGTGTACTTCACTTTTAAAAAGTTAAAATAGTGATATTATTTATGTGATATAAAAGATATTGGTTATACAAATGTAAAAAAATAATTTTTTGGTGTTAGATATGTAAAAACATAAGAATTGGGTGGTATTTATGTAAATGCCGAAAACATTATTTCATATATAGGCATCATGCTTGTTGCAGCTAAAAATATTGGCTAGGGAATAGCATGCCTATGTTGAAAAAGGAACTAAATCATGTGCTCGAGATTACGTAGCATTAGCATCCTTCTAAATACACGCACAAATCCAAGATCATTACATAATATCATGCAACTTACATAGCTTTAAAACTAAATTAGTCTAATTTATCGATCCTGTCTCCCTCTATTACAATAAATTTTCAAAAAAAAAAAAGGAAACCTGTCTCCCTCTATTACAATAAATTTTCAAAAAAAAGGCAAATTTGCATACATACCACACAATTTTTTATGTATTTACATATCTAACACCTAAAGTTTGATATTTATACTCGTAACACCTTGCGTCATAAATTTATGCATGAAAAGGTGTATTTCAACTTTAAAAAGGCAGTGATGAAGGTATTTTTGGTGCGATGTTAAGAATTTGAGGGGTATGCATGTAAATATGAAGTTTTAGGTGTTAGATATATAATTACATAAGAATTGAGTGGTATGCATGTAACTAATAGATAAATGTATAGGAAGGAACCCATGAAGATTGACAGTTGTGAGCTCAAATTTATAACTGGGATTCAATAAAATTATCATCTAAACACCCACTAATCCACAAGAAGATTGACAGTTGTAAAGCTCAATGGATTATTTCAAATTCCTCCCTTCATAATCATGCAAATTACAATTGCAAGCTCATTTCTAACAAATGCTATAGTTTCCAACAAAGACGAAGACACGAAAGAGATAGAGAGAGAAAAGAAAAGGGTAAAAAGGAAAATTGAACAAAAGCACAACATGAAATATTTTGAATGGTTATAATGGACCTTTGCAATCCCCATGCAAAAGGATCCTAACCTAGCCCCATTTGGTAGCAAAAAAAATGGGGGCATTTACATACATTCTATCCAATTCTTATGTATTTACATATCTAACACCTAAGTTTTACTTTTTACATTCATATCTTTCATATCACATCAAGAATACAATCATTGTAACTTTTTTTAAAAAAAAAAGTGACATGCACCTTTTCATGCAGAAGCAAGGTGGCGTGAATGTAAAAATTGAAGTTTAGGTGTTAGGTATGTAAACACATAGGAATTGAGTGGTATGTATGTAAATCTTCCTAGAACAAGGTAGCATTGTGCCAAGATGTCCATATAAATGGCAGAGCTGGATCGGGGAATTCATTGTTGCGCCACTGTAACAATTTAGAAGGTGCCGCATCATCCTCCCTGGAAATGATTCTAGGGTTGGGGGTTTGGGTCAGCACTTTGGTGATTTGGAAAATACTAAATTATTGCACATACAAGTGTGAGCTCTGAAAATTCACAGCAACTCTTGTGAGAGAACAATTCAGGCCGAATTTTCAGAAAGAACGTTAGATTTTAGATATGACAGTTTTTCTGGGGACTTTAAAGGTTTCTCTTAAACGCGAAGCTGATATAATTAATTACCCGGATGATGCGAGAGAAGGCTATTTGTTAGGTACTAAGTCCTTAGCATATGGTGGCAGCAATTTATTTTTTAAAATAAGAAAATTTGTTGTCTTTAGCATAGAGAAGATGGTGGGAGAAATGATGATGAACTCAATCAAGATCTCATAATTCAATTATCTCAGGTTGTCATGAATCATGATCTACTCAAATGAAATAGTCAACCCCAACTTTATCTAAAAATCCTGGTTAATAGTCATGGGTTGCATTGTCTAAAAGGATATTGTAGATCGAAACTAGATATTTATCAAATACAACAACAACAATAATAACAAGCCTTTATCCCACTAAGTGGGATCGGTTACATGAATCCTTTTTTTCCATTGTGTCCTATTGAGTGTCATATTTTCATTTAATTCTAATAATTAAGATCATCTTTTATAATAAGCTCAAGTCCTTCTAGATCTACCTCTGTCTTTCTTAACATAAGTCGAATCTA